TGGCCGAAAGTCTAAGTCAATTTCGGCCGAAACCGAAGAAAAACCGAAAGTTAACTTTTCTCTTTCGGTCGAAACCGAAATTAAGCCGAAAGTTAACTTTCCAGTTTCGGCCGAAACCGAAACTTGGCCGAAAGTGATAAAATGGCCACTTTCAGCGCCGAAACCGAAGCCGTAGCCGAAATTCGGTCGGCCTCTAGTCCACAGACCCACCTGACCACCGAGATGATGTGCTGACACAGATATGCACTGACTCACCTATCCACCGTGATGATGTCAAGATACACCTGTCCACTGACACACATGTCCACTGACACACCTGTCCCCTGACGCACCTGTCCACTGATTTTTTAAGGTTAAGAGTAGCACACATCACCTGTCCACTGACACACCTGCCCACTGACACACCTGCCCACTGACACACCTGTCCCCTGACGCACCTGTCCACTGATTTCCTACGGTTAAGAGTAGCACAAATCACCTGTAAGTTTTAATAAACCAAGGGTCAAACGGTCAGGGGGCGTAACTGCGCTGGATAGAAGATCAATGTCTATAGGACGTAACGTCATCACTCCACTCCACTACTAGACTTGATTTTCGATTACTGTCTTCTTTCAGGGGTTCTCTGCCCATAACCGGTGACCCCATGTGGATTGGGGTCCACTACGTACAACTAAACAGTAGCTGGACGTGGCAGTATTTGACCGAATACAACGCTGGAAATTCAACTGGACTGTTTCATAATTTTGCTAATGGCACAATTCCCTTCGGACATGCTGGTAAGTCACTCTTCTTAGTCACGCTGTCAGTCCCTCTGGCAGATAACAGTAGTAAGTCACTCTTCTTAGTCACGCTGTCAGTCCCTCTGGCAAATAACAGTAGTAAGTCACTCTTCTTAGTAACGCTGTCAGTCCCTCTGGCAAATAACAGTAGTAAGTCACTCTTCTTAGTCACGCTGTCAGTCCCTCTGGTAGATAACAGTAGTAAGTCACTCTCAAATATCATATATGTCCTGTTGTATTTCATCCAATCAACACTGGCATGTTGTATTTCAGTCAATCACCTATGTCCTGTTGTATTTCATCCAATCATCCATGTCATGTTGTATTTCATCCAATGAGCCATGCCATGTTGTATTTCATCCAATCACCCATGTCCTGTTGTATTTCATCTAATCATCCATGTCATGTTGTATTTCATCCAATCACCCATGCCCTGTTGTATTTCATCCAATCATCCATGTCATGTTGTATTTCATCCAATGAGCCATGCCATGTTGTATTTCATCCAATCACCCATGTCCTGTTGTATTTCATCTAATCATCCATGTCATGTTGTATTTCATCCAATCACCCATGCCCTGTTGTATTTCATCCAATCATCCATGTCATGTTGTATTTCATCCAATGAGCCATGCCATGTTGTATTTCATCCAATCACCCATGTCCTGTTGTATTTCATCTAATCATCCATGTCATGTTGTATTTCATCCAATGAGCCATGCCATGTTGTATTTCATCCAATCACCCATGTCCTGTTGTATTTCATCCAATCATCCATGTCCTGTTGTATTTCAGGAGATTGTGTGGCCAGCTGGCCGAGCAGTGGAGACCAATGGAGTCCCATTAACTGCTCCTTTCCACTTAACTTTATTTGCGAGACTCGACCTTTGAACTATCCAGTACCCACCCCCAGCAACCCAACAACAGGTTGGCAAATTTTTTATTAATAATGATGGTAAAGTTTGTCATTATCATTCTGATGTGGTGCGACCAGTGCCACATTAATAGTCTTTTCTGATGTGGTGAGACCAGTGCCACATTAATAGTCTTTTCTGATGTGGTGAGACCAGTGCCACATTAATACAGTCTTTTCTGATGTGGTGAGACCAGTGCCAGATTAATTGTCTTTTCTGATGTGGTGAGACCAGTGCCACATTAATACAGTACAGTGGCTTCTTGACACTCAAAAGGTAGCCTCCCCTAGTGGCGTACCTAGAAAGTGCGAAATGGGTCATGTGGGGGTGCAACTCACACCAAGTTCAATGTTCACCATTGCCCACAACTCCCGCAAATCTACATTTCCTTCCCTTTCACTCGTAGGTCCACTTAACATTTTTTTTATGTCACGATTGAGAAATTAAAAGTCTCTTTATTTTACACTCTTGGCCCCTTATTTACCGTCATTATATGGTTTAGTCCAATTCCATTCATCACTGCACTCATTAGAAAGGCGACAGTCTCTCTTTAGGCTATCCTCCCTTTGATAATGACCTTATTAGGGAAAGTTTAAAACTTGTGTATTTTCCCTTATTTCGTTCTTTTCACTCACTAATTCTGTGACGCTATGTGTGTAGATGTCCAAGATGCCCACCAGTGCTATAACATTCCATCTATGTAGCTGTCCGATGTGCCCATCAGTACTATGCATTCCGTCATTACAAGCAGGCTACATTCAAGCTCAAGTCCCCAACAAAATAAATAATAAAATCCCATTTTCTTGAGGGCCTATAAAATACGTAGATCCCTTTAGATGAATTGGGCCATGCGCGAGACAATGAGACCCCCTTTCATTAATACACATATTAAAATATAGAGACTTGAGGTGAAATAAAATTGATGGGATTAACCCAGAGCATGGACCAAGCAACATCTGTGGATGAAAATGGTGTGGGGGGGGGGCGGCTCGTATAATCAAGGGGCCCAAGTTGTGATGTGGAAAAAAAATAAATATTTTAAACACATTGAATAGCTAACAATTTTCCATGTTGGCACTCTCTGAAATGTACGACTAGTTTTTACGCAATAAAAACGATCAAATTTGAATAAAGTGGGCTTTACCTACACTACACCTCTGGTTATACTTGACACAGACGGTTAGGTTTGGGATAAGGTGCAAGGCAGGGTGGGATAAAATACAATGTTGCGATAAGGTGAGAAGTACATTGCTGGATTAAGGTGAGAGGGCATGGTTGGGATAAGGTGAGGGGTATGGTTGGGATAAGGTGAGGGGTATGGTTGGGATAAGGTGAGGGGCACAGTTTTGGATAAGGTGAGGGGCACGGCTGGGATAAGGTGAGTGGCACGGTTGGGATAAGGTGAGGGGCACGGTTGGGATAAGGTGAGGGGCATGGTTGGGATAAGGTGAGGGGCATGGTGGGGATAAGGTGAGGGGCATGGTGGGGATAAGGTGAGGGGCATGGTGGGGATAAGGTGAGGGGCATGGTGGGGATAAGGTGAGGGGCACAGTTGGGATAAGGTGAGGGGCATGGTGGGGATAAGGTGAGGGGCATGGTGGGGATAAGGTGAGGGGCATGGTGGGGATAAGGTGAGGGGCACAGTTGGGATAAGGTGAGGGGCACGGTTGGGATAAGGTGAGGGGCATGGTTGGGATAAAGTGAGGTAGAAGCTACGGTGAGTTAGAAGCAGTTGATGCAGTGAGGTAGAAGCAGGTGCTTGAGAAAAGAAGTAAGGGAATGCATGAGTTGAAGTAACACAGTACTAACGTAACAGTAACACTAGAGAATCATTCTTTTGATGGATATGTCTGTATTTCCCACACAGCCGTCAGCTACACAAATGTAACCGAGTTCTACAACTGGATCAAAGTCTACAACAACTTCCGGTTCAGTTTACCAGACAGCTCCGCCATGCCGAGAGCGAGTTCAGTGGTGGGCTGCGCCATCTTGTGTACTCACCTCCCTCAGTGCTTGGCTTTCAACCACCGCCCACTGGACAATGAGTGTGAGTTCATAGATACCCTAGTTAATGACACCTATGCCGTCCAGGTGACAGGCTGGGACATATGGATTGATGGCAGCCTTCTCTAAAGGGTCGGAACACTTGGGAGAATAGAAAGGAAATGAAAAAGGAACTGCAGAATAAGTCTTAAAAGACTGAACTCTGTCAAAATGAATATTAGTGTTGTCACCATCAGTTGTCAGAAAAGTTTCATCTATTTTTACCCTACATATTATTCTTGTATCAGTATCCTAAAACAGAATGATACAGAAATGTATCAAATGGTTAAATTTGCTGAAATATAATTTGTTTCAAATAATACATGCCTAGATAATAGCCCTACATTTTTGAATAAATGTATTTTAACTCAACCCAGTGTAAAAATTGAAGATCAGGGGACTGCATAGTTCTATGGAGCAGCCAGTCAGTCGATATCCCTGCTGTAGATAGAGATTGAGTCTGCCAACTTTCTACATTAATAAACGTGTCGATTGTATGAACACTGATCAGTATCATTTATGACAAACCAAAAATAAACAGGGTTTGTAAGCATATTTTAATTGTTTCTGATTATATCATTTATAATTGAAATAAATTATTAACAAGAATTGTTTAAAACTCTATTACTCTTAACTATAGAAATTAATTCTGACAGTACAGGTTGAATAAATTCAAAGATTGTTTAATAAATATGTCTAGCTCTTTTCGGTATTAAATATTCCTGAGTATAATTCATTTCTGTACTGTCATCAAACAATATACCGGTAAATCAAAAATTAAAAAGCTGAAATATGGTTTTGAAATCAATTCCTATTTCCAAAAGGTCCAACTACAACTAATTTTAGCATTTCAAAGATTCCTTCTTCATCTTTGTAACAAAGTTTCAGAAAGTGGAAATGATACAAAAATGTTTACTACCAAAATATAGTTATTAAAAAAAAATTGGAATAAACAGCCAGTACTTCATGCAAGCCTACTTCTTTCCATCATTTTATAAGTGGAAGTGACTGGTTTGTTGGTTAGTGAACAAAAGCAAGGTAGGTAAATTTGTTTGTGATTTACATAGAAAAAAAATATCCTTAATATAAAAAAAAATTAATGCTGCATTTTTTAAATCAATTAACAAATTTCAGAAACCAATATGAATTATTTATATAATTCTTACTGACAATAATTTTAGTGCATCTAATTATACACAACATTTGCCTACCGGTAGCAAGGATAACATATTTTGACACATCTTTAACTTAAAAAAACAACAACTAAAAATAAATCTGAGGAGTACAGCAAAATTTCTCATGTGCTGCTTCCATAAATTGTGATAATGCACAGGTAATCCCAATGGAATAAACTCTTTCTTTTTTGTGCCTAAAACTAACTATAACTGTGCCATGTCAGGAATTATCTACCTTTAAATATCAATATGCTCTCTTGAGTCCAAAAAAAGTCCCTTAGGAGCTTGATTGTAAAAAAAAATTTTTTTAAAGATCTTAAAAAAAAAAAGATTAATTAGTAATAAGTATTCAGGAAAAAAAACTTGGCTTTAAAATAATCAAATCAAAGCCACCAATTTTCATCACAGAACAAGACTACAGGTAAGTATCTTACCATTGAGTTGGAATCAAAATGTTTCTATCAAACTGAACACCATCGTTATAACAATGTAATAAATATTTTTGTAGACCTAACATCTTAGTCAGTATCCATGTAGCAAAATATTCAACATAACTGAATGCTATTATGATATGAATTCAGTGGTGAAGTTAGGGTTAACGCTGACGAGGGCAGGTCAAGAGTTTTTTGCCCCTCTTTAAAGAAAAAAACTCTGCAGTTGGCAAAAAAAAGCCACACCCCTTCCTACACCACTGTTTGCATGAAAAAATTCATAGTATTTATAACAATGTTGATACATTACACTTAGATTAAATAAACGAGACCACATTAGCAACCAGGCTGAGAAGTTCAATAAAAGACTATGAATATGATAACAAACCACTTTCAGGGGAAGGTTCCATAATAATTTGTTGTATTTGTTTGAACTTTGGATGAGCGGCATCCCGTACGAGGCCCAGAAGGATACTTTCACTGGTTGTGAGGTGGGCACCCGCAGATTTCATGCGCTCAAAGGCAAACATTCTGGGAAAAGAGACCAGTTAAAACATTTTTTAAATGTGCACTACTTCTGAAGTGTTCCGCTGTATCATTATTAAAGTGGAATTTGGGAATAAGCATTTTTTTAAAATACATGTTATCATAATTAATCTCAGACTGAAATGTTCAATTATGAATATTTCAGACCTGTTTACCCTCAAACCCTTAAAATCGTACAATATCATCATATAATCGTTCAATACATTCTCTTTATAGAGCAAAAACGTGCTGTATATATAATGTATACACCTCAAAATCGTACATTGTACGCCAAAATCGTAAGAGTAAACAGGTCTGATATTTTATGATGTGAATTATTCATATTTCATATAAAGAGATACTGAAACGGTGCTTGGTTCAAAGAAGGTTTAAGAGGATTTTAAAAGATGATATATATTCCAATTAAATAAAGGTGAATTCCAGTGTTACTGAAATCCAATCCCCTAACTTGTCAGCTTCTGCACTGAAAAACCATGCTTACCTGAATTGAACATTGCTGTTAACATTAACATATTTTTATATGTCTTATATCATTTTGAAGATAAATGAATTTTCTTTCAGATGAATCTAAAACAGTTTTTGGTACTATTCTTAAATTATTATTTACAAGAGAAAAGCATTCAATAGTTAAACAAATGTTCCAACTTACCTTCAAGTTTTGAATTCCAAAACATTTAATTATTATCTACACTTATAATAATTTCTATAATCACAACTAAACCAGTTTAGGAAAGATTTCCAAATTAGACAAATCCACATTTACATTGTGATTGCTTTTGGTAACCTTATCCCTAGTTGTAATGAGAAAATTCTTGCAAACTACCCTCAAAATACGATAAATATGACAAAAATAGTTTTTTTTTACGTTCTGATTGTGCCTTGTGGTTTTTAAATTTATTTCTTGTCTGAAAATTAAAATCTTGACCCAAAACAAAAGTAAAAATGTAAATATATACCTAGTTTTATTAAGAAACAAACCATGATGCTCCAAGTGGCTCATGGCCATGATAGAAAGAATGTTTAGCACTACCGGTGGTTTAAAGTAGTTCACAAATTCACACTATTAATGAAAATTACCTCCAAAATCGCAAGCTTCTTTCTCTAGTAACTATAAACAATTAAATAAATTTACAAAAATTTCCAGCCAGTGAAGTGTCACACCTTAAATTTTTAAAATAAATATACAACTACTTGCCTGATTGAAATATATTACCTTGATAAAATACAATTATTTAATAAGCACTGTAAACAAAAAATGATGAATAATTCCTTTTTTTTAAATGCCTTACATTATAATTCCACTTTCACTGTGACATGATGAATGTACAACTTTTGCCTATCTTGATTGTTGTATCATGACTGAAATTCTTTGATTGTCCTACTCTATAGAAGTGTTTCTTTTTCTTCCCTTTGTAAGTTTCTTCTAATAATGTTTGTAGTTTGCTTTTTTTTTTCATCCCACACACTTACAGGTTGCTTATCCCTGTTAAAGGGAAACAATCCTTAGCTTTTAATAATTCGTATACAAAATACACTGCTTTTTTCTGGTGCTGATATCAACAATTGATAAATGGTAAAACAAAAAAAAATTGAAGAACGCATTAAAATTTTCAGACATACCTGTCAGCCAGATTTCTACTTGAACAAGCATCAACTATTACATGAACATCATAATTCTTCTCAACCAAATCAAAGACAGTTTGTTGAACACAGGCATGAGCTTCAATGCCACACAAAATAATGGACTTGACATCTGGAAGTAGAAGAACGTCATTAATCTTTATTGCATTTATTTGCCAAGTAAATTTATACTTTTCAAATATTGGACAAACAGTTAAAGGTGTTCAATTTATTTTTGAATAATGCCAGGAGTTTACCATAGACTGTTAAGACAGCAATGTTATGCAAATCATACATGCCAACCTATGGGATAAAAAAAATTGCCACACAAAAAACTACCACAACATGAAAAAATGTGCAGAAAAAATGAAAACTTGAAAAAAGTACCATTTAAATTTTTTTTCATTGAAATCAAATCTGTTTTGATTTCAGGAATTGAAATGAATTAACTCCTCTTTGCTACATGCAGATTTTTAGCATGTTAACATCATTCATAAATGGGTAGATAGCAATTTTACAAATAAACTTAGCTTGTTTTATGTCAGATTTTAATAAAATTTTAAGTATTTTTACATGGGTCAATAGCAAGTTGTAAAAAATGGACATTGAAGATGAATTTTATAACAAATTATATGTAATTAGGGGTTGTCCATATAGAACATCATGCTCCAGAGGGAATGTGGGGGCAGGGTTCCCAGAAAGTTTGATAACTTGTGCCATGGGGGTGGGTGAAGATCTTGTGTGACATCCCACATTTTAAATTTTATTTATCATACATGTAAAACCTGCAATCGACAGTGATGTTGAATTTTCAATTGTAGTGGATGTATTCTGACAGAAGATGTCACTTTTATTATACCTTTGATAGCGGTAGTGAAGTGTGCTTTACATTAAATTTTAATTCGTTTTCAATTTTGTACCGTAACAATTATTTAGTTCCAAAGTGTGACATACTTTAGCTGTAGTAATAAAGATTCCTGTATTTACATTAATGAAGTAATATATCATCATGTTAGTCTTGACAAAGTTACCAAGTTCATTTTACCGTCAACGTTTAACTTCACCATACGGTACTAGAGTAAAATGTCATGAGGATAGACAGATGGATGTTTAATAAAAAATCTCTATGCACTATATGAATAGAATATTATGTTACTAGGAAGTTTCCAGCTGGCATTTAATTAAAAAAAAAATATATATTAGCCTACAATTCTCATTGATTTTGGCTCAAATAAATTATACTTACACAATGAAGAAGTTAACAGGAGCTTTTAGTTTTAGATAGCGATTAACATGTTAAATTAAGCCATGCTGAAGTAATAAATAGGAATAATGACCAATGCTGGTCCCTGATAGTAATATTTAATAAGTATAAGAATTTAATAGAAATTAAAAGTGTGCTGCCTAACAAAGCAGATTTTGTAATGAATTCCTCAAACAGATTTGTAATTATGGTTTACTACTCAAATAGTTACTAATGTACTACGCTGTCTTAGTATTAACGAAAGACATCAATGAAACCGCCCTCAGTCTCTAAATTTAGCTTCCTGTTGTCCAATGTTAAAATTATTGGATGTGTGTCTTGTGCAAAAGTATTTCTTTTATAAATCCAGTCAAAACAATACAATAGCCTATATGGTCATACACCTCTCGGAGAATGTACGAAAGCTGCACAAAGTACGGTTAACCATACAGTTTGGCAGGTATGTTTAAACATAAATATTAAATAAATAAATTTTTTCAAAGCCACTGTTGATATTAAATATGCCACAATTTGTAATTTTTAAAAATTAGGATTACAACCAATTTGTCTTACGACCAAATAAAAAGAATGAGTGAATGATGTACCATTTAATTTTTGTAGCTCAGCTTCAACACCAGGCACAATCATGGAGAATGAAGTTTTAGAGACCACTTTGTGTTGACTAACATCCAGTTCTGGTACCGTATGGCCCAGTCCTATAAAACATAATAATCAGATTTCATTTGAAAAACATAATCAGCTAACATTTTTAATAAAAAAATTATTCATTTTGAATATTGTGGGATCAATGCTTTGATTAGGGGCTGTCCATCCATTTAGTATATCACACTCCCGAGGGGGGACGGGGGGTCTAACCATAACAAAGTGTGACATTTTGTGACACAAGTTGGGGGGGGGGGTTATCTTGTGTGAAATCACACATTTAATTTTTTTTAAAAATCGTACATATAAAATCTGAAATAATGAATAGTGAAGTGTCTTTTATATTTAGTTACCAAGCATGACATACTTGTGGGGGGAGTTGAGATTTGGGACAGGGGGATGGGGTAAAAACTGTCCAAAAAGTAGTGTGCCATACTTTATGGACAGCTCCTTAAGTTAATATAAAAGTTAATGTTCAAATTGAAATTACTTACATTTTTAAACCAAAAGTGTGCATTAATGCAAAAATTATATTTGACATTATTAGTGTATACAACCAATACCTTTTGGATACTGCTCTGTAACAATAACAGGCATGTCTAATGTCTGTGCACCTTTCAGTAGTCGCTCTGCCACAGTCAAAATTTGGGGAAAGTATTGAATAGTTGGTCGGAATTTTTCTTGCATGTCACAGATGAATAGTGCAGCATTTTTGTAAAAGACCTTGCCAATCCGCTGTGATGCCATACAAATCTCTTTAAAAATATAAAAATCCTTACAATTTAGTATACAAAATAATAACTATTAAATATAAGTATAAGTCATGATAAGTGTGGAAGTTTTTAGATAAAATACCAAATTAAATTTAAAAATTCAAATCGTAGAGATAAGAATGACAATTAATAAGTTTAAGCTTGGCTAAACTGAGAGGCTAAACTTAAGTGTGGGTAGTCATCTGACATCTATTTTTCCAATTTCCATTTCTAATTTGAAAACCCCTGTCATCTTTGACGTAAGCGTGTTTGCCCTGTAGCTGTAGAGTTTAGAACTCAGCTCAAAGACTGTAAGACAGTTATCTTTGAAGTAAAACTTGGTTAAGTAAGGCTTAGGCCTAAATGAAGCAGTTCTTGATTTTCATCTCTCATACGACCATTGATGATATATCGTAATTCATGAATCATGAATTACTGACTCGGTGACTACACACTTCACTAGTAATATTAATATAGTCTATATATATATATATAGTAACAACACACGGGAGCAAAACGGGTAAGACGAAGAGCAAGAAGGCCAAAGGCTGAAACCAATAAAGGTTAGTAAATGTTATAACTGTACGGTAAAGATATAACATTTTAAAACAAACTGCCATGGCTGCAGCACAAATCGTAAATTTGAGGTACGCAGTAACAGAGAACTATAACTTACAACAGTTTTGACCCCAATGAAACAGGAAAAACATTGGAGACAAACAGAAGGACTAGAGGTGAGAGTTCAAAAGGGGAAGTTACTAGATAAAATAGCTTTACTTTCAACCTGTTTAGTTATATCCCCTATAAGACGTCGATGAAAATTCCGACAACTCATGCTACGTGGAACTGATGAAGAGCACAATGAGACACGAGAAACAGTTACCGGTACCGGCAATTTGTTTGAAAGAAATTTCGTCGACGGAAAATTGATCGAGGGAAGTTTGATCGAACGGAAATTTGCTCGAACGGAAGTTTGGTCGAACGGAAGTTTGGATGAATTATTTTTCCAGTTCCCACAATCAAATTTTCGTCAAATTTCATATTGAACGCACTATGCTGTATACAGTATAGCAAAACAAAATAATGGGTTCAAAAAGGAAATTTGACGCAAAATTTGATCGTGTGAACTGAAAAAAAATTATACCAAATTTCCATTTAGCCAAACTGCCGCTCGATTGGGAAAGGACGAGACAGTGAGGCTGAAGAATTGTGCAATTCCCCCTTATTTTAAACAAAATGCAACGAAAGTCAAGCAGGATTTCTTTAAGCCATCTCTCCGTCGAGATGCGCCCCCCCCCCAGGAAATTCAAGTGCCCCCTCCCCCGGGAGCAAAATGTGTACAACAATATAATGATTAATTAAAAAAAAAAAATTAAATGAATTAGTTGTCATTTTTCAACAGTTTTAAAATAATAGTATCTAGTGCCTTAACCGATAACAATTAGTGAAATCAATGAAATATCGCTACGCTCGATATATTTGATGATCCGTATATGTAAGGCCAATCTTGTTATAGACTTACAGTATTCGATTAAAAAATCGTACTGGCCTCTCCTGATTACAAGCCGAAGACTTACTTCCCTTTGTTCGCACTTATCGATATATATATATATAGATTATTTTTTTTTTGGCCACCTTAAACATTTAAAGACTTTAATAACACTGTATTAAACTACCTTTACATCAAAATCAAGGAATACAGTTCTAATAATAGTTCTTGCCAAGTATCAAACAAATGCAAACAGTTTAATGATCACTATCAGCTTTAAATTCGGGGGAAGGGGGTGGGGACAAAACCGAAAAGCGGCAACGAGGCGTGGGCTCAAAATGTCATTCAACAGACGGCTCTAATTGACCTGGTTGTGTTATACAAATATTTGTTTAATATTATTTACAATTAAAAAGTAATCTACCACCAAGTCACCACCATTCTACCACCAGGTCACCACCAGCTTGCCACCATTATACAACCAGGTCACCACCATTATACAACCAGGTCACCACCATTATACAACCAGGTCACCACCATTCTACAACCACCATTCTTCCACCAGGTCACCGCCATTCTACTTCCATTTTACCATCAGGTCACCACCATTCTATCACCAGCTTACCGCCATTTTACCACCAGGTCACCAACCAGGTTACCACCACTGACACTAAAGCAGAATGACGACTTTAAATCAATTTGGTTGTATTCCAATTTTTTGTGTTGGGGTATTAGACCTCGAGGTCATTGTTCACAGATCAAAGGCCCAAAACTCGTTCACTTTTCTAAAGACCACATTGTCGCCACAGTAGTGTAGTTGTACGCTGTCCTTTAAGATAAGATAATTTTTTCTTTCCTTTGAGAGATCCACTAGCAGATATACCCGGCGTTGCCCGGGATTGAATTCTGACAAAACTGCAACAGTTATTCAGCTAAAATCGAGATTAAGGGCCCTGTAACAAAACAAGTCGCTATACTTTAGTTTGGTCAACCTCCACTAATCCATGCAGAAACGTATGCGGAACAAATAATAATATAATAATAATAAGACGTCTTATATAGCGCGGTACCCCAGCCTAGGGCCGGGCTCACCGCGCTGTACATAAAATGTTTTATCAAAGAGACATAATCATGACATTAAAATAAAATACATTTATGAAATAAAGTACAGCAATGTATATTCACCCACCCCACCACATAACTTTTACAAGGCAAACCATGGACGGCAGCCAGCAAGATCAAACAAACAAACTCAACAATTTTCAAATATATATATATATATGGTGGTCCATCATTTATCGCGGGCAATCAGTTCAAGACTCTACCGCGAGAAGTGAATTTCCGCAATGAAGTAGGGTTCTTTATGTATAAATGGAATATGTTCGTAGTCAGAGAAAAGAGAATCTGTTGACGGCCGTCCAAATACGGGTTTCTACATTAGCAGACCTTCTGGGGGATGCTCGGATACATAGTCCTACACTCCATACTTACAGTCATACATAGTCCTACACTCCTTACTTACAGTCATACATAGTCCTACACTCCATACTTACAGTCATTTTAATTGTAATACATTATGGATGTATAACTGACTCAGACAACCGAGCGCGCGTTGTATCATTTTCACTATCTCGATCAACTTTTTAATGAAAACATGTTATATTTGAAAATATCCGCGGTAGAGTGAAGCTGTGAAAATCGAAGCGTGAAGTGGCGAGGGGCGACTGTATCAGGGCCGGAGCTAGAGGAGGGCGAAGTCCCGCGCGTTGCCGTAGTATATGTATATAATTTACCTAAGCCTACTAATCGTTCCTAATCCAGTCAACACAATATTCGGAGTTCTTAGATAGTCAAAAGGTCTTAAGGTCAGTCTGGCTCCCATACTATCACTTCCAGATGAATCTCGGGAAGACCTATTGGTAACAATGGAGCCGCGATGAGTAATTTGGGCCAGCACAATTAACTGTTACAGGAAAAAAATAATATTTCGGAAACTAATCGAGTAAACACATATCCGTTATGACACTCCCATTATGACCAGCAAGGCCCAGTATGACTATAACGTGTCTTAATATCCTATCGACGGAATATATAAGGTCAACGGCCCCGCAAAATTCTATTTGCGCAAGGCCCTGCACCCTCCTAGCGCCATATATATATATATATATATTTATATATATATATATATATATATATATAT